GTTAATATCTATGTTTGTTATTGAAATGCACGCTCACCCACTTTTTCAATAGTGGTCGTATTTCAATAGTGTTTATTACCTATGCTTGTTATTGAAATGCACTCTCAACAACTATTGAAATAATTATTTCAATAGTGGTTGTATTTCCATAGTGGTTATTACCTGTGTTCGTTATTGAAATGCACTCTCAACCACTATTGATATAATTATTTCAATAGTGGTTGTATTTCAATAGTGGTTATTACCTATGTTTGTTATTGAAATGCACTCTCACCCACCATTGATATAATTATTCCAATAGTGGTTGTATTTCAATAGTGGTTACTAATTATGTTTGGTATTGAAATGCACTTTCAACCGCTATTGATATAAAAATATTTCAATAGTGGTCGTTATTTCAATAGTGGTTGCAACAATGGTTAACCTTTCTCTTAATTTCTTAATTTTTAAATGTATATCACTTTTGCCATTTTGCACGGAAAAAGTCAGAACAATAAAAACCACAATGGCTAGTGGACCTCGTACACGTCAGCATTTAAAATGATATACTGCAGAAATCGTGCGAAAATATTTTCCATGAAATAAAATATCACAAAATCAAAACGTTAGTGCCACATCCAGGAGATTACATTGGTATCAATTCAAATCTTGGCTACTGAATAACATAAAAAAAATGAATCAAAATGAATAAACTTCTTTATGCAAAAAATAATTCTTTAAACAATACTTACTTTCTAAGACAAAACTAAATAAAGCATCATGTCTTAAGGTTTAATTCGTAGTAAATAAAGGAATAAAAACAATTTAAACCTGCATGTTTGAAATATAGTCAATCATTAATTTCTTAAAATTCTCTTTCGCGCGCACGCACAATCTCTTATAAAAGGGTAATTTACTGCATTTCATGCATTAAAAATAAATCGGAAAAATGAAAAATTAAGCAAAAGTGACCCATTCCAGGATTTGAACCCATGCTCTGGAAAATGTATCACCTAGTAGCTAGTATAGTTTACCAGCATATTCACAAGATCATTTCGGGCAGGATGGTATTGTGTTATTAAATGTTCAAACATGTACATGAACATTTTGCATTTTGTATGGATCATATGTTTTATTCAATGTTTATCTTTTTGTGCATATATCAAAATAATTCCGTTTCAAGTAGGCAATATTTCATAACAATAGGGATTCCCTATTTAAAAAAAATGAAAATCTGATATATTTTGCTGTGAGACTAATTTACAATTCATTTAACGATAAATTGGAGTCAATATGCAGCTTCCAAATATTTTTCCTCATTGTGCAATAACACCCTCTTTTATCTCATACTTAGCACTCAGGACCATTGAGCAGGATGGGGTCTTTTCGTGCATGCCCCTACTGCGACACGGGACCTCGTTTTTTACGGTCTAATCCGACGGACCGTTCTCCACGTCCATCTGTGGGATTCGAACCCGCGACGTAAGGATCAAGTTTTTATTTTGCGACTCTATAGCAGACGCTCTTGACTTACTTCTACGCCACACGTGCGACTAAAGTTGTTAGAGTGACAGAGAGTAAGAAAGTCCCCACCTATGCAAATACGTATATTGTAACAAATTTGTGCACAATTTATCGCATTAATAGGACTAAAATGTACCTGAATCTAGAATCCGTCGAACATGTGCTTACTCAGTGTTTATGTAGACTTTTAATTGATTGTCTATCATAGTTTTGGAATAGTTCCTCTACATGATTTCAAATAATCCGATTTTTTTCCTTTCTTTAGAAACTATATAAATCACGCGCAAGTGCAAGATATTTAATGTATAGTTACAATTTCCGACAGAAAATATATTGTGTTTGTAAATTGTAGTACTGACAGACTACAGGCTTATAAAAGAATGAAATTGTTCAAAGTCCGGCATTGAGTAGATGTACATTACACCCCTCCCTCTTTTATTGACGTTCATGTGAAACCTGGTATACAATGTTATGGATATTATACTTCAGATGTTCTGGGGGGGACTGGGTTCGGGGAGGGGGTAAAAACTCACAGGTAGTTAGTTTAAATTAATATATTATATACCGTATCGTTATGTAAAAAACTGTACTTTATTTTTCTTTACATATCAGTATTTTGTACATATTCAAAAATTAATACCAAAGTACCGATGTAAAAAAATCAGCTCCCCCACACACGAGTAAGCAGAGCTTTTAAAACAAAAGACTGTATTTAGAAAATAAAACTGTTCTACAAAGTACAAATTATACATCGGGTTCGTTGCCACAATGCTCTCGAAATCAGAAATTTACAAAAAAGACATACAATCATGTCCTACATAAACATGTATGTTAGTCTTTTGATAAATAATTTAATTTTATTTTCATTCTAGCCTCTCATTGGTTGATTTCCAAAACGGAACGCAAATTATACTGTATAATCTGGTTTTGTATGGAGACACTGGCCCCCTTGACAACTAGCTGAATCATCTGTACCCATGCAATCCCCTCATTGCCAGTCCTCAGAATTCATGGAAAATTCCAGATTCCAAATTAATGTACCTTTAACTTCAAACAGTAGCTCTATCTTCCTTCATGTAAACAAAAATCATGGCTGCTAAGTCTAAGTAGCAGATATAAACTCTTCTCGCTTCCCATCACTTCCGTTACCAAGCTTGTAATATTGAGCAAATTTGAACTCATAAAAAGGAACACAATTTTACACCCACAGTTGTTAAATAATATTTTAATTCAATTATAAGGAATGACTCTAATTTTTGGCCAAATTATTCGAATACATGTATAACCTGTTTTGGGTCAGTTTACGCCTTTTTATAATCCGCTTCGCGGATTTATAGTGTTCTCTATGATTACAAGTGTAACTATTATTTAAACAACCATTCATACAAAAGCATTTCATGTCCGTGCGGCTATATTCCCTTGTTGTTTTTTTTTTATAACATGTTCGATATTCGATGCTGAATAATGTTCTAGAAGCTCCCATCAATGTTCAGATCGGTGAATGACGAAACAAATTGCTCATTTCCCTTTTAATCGGTTGTCAAAAATCTTTTTTTCTTTTATATCGTTTAAGGACAGATGAAACAAAGAAAAATGTATGCCTGGATTGATATATTTTCATGACCTAATTTCATTGCAAATGATGCAAATAATAAAATTCTAGAATATTAAAAAATTTATAAACCTTCTATGATGTTCACAATTCTACCCTTCTGAAACCATCCGATTATTCTATATGAATATTTTTCACTTCAAATTCTATTTTTGTGCAACATTGAATAACAAGAGGCCCATGGCCAGGGGCCACAGCGCTCACATGAGCACACAGGCTAGGAAAAAAGTCTACAGACTTTGGAGGGGGGCTTAAATCTTAACTCCCCAGTGGGGTCATGATTTGAATAAACTAAAATCTACACTACCTGAGGATGATTTCATATAAATATCTCTAATTATGGTTTTGAAGTACTTGAGAAGGAGATTTTTAAAAATTTCCCTTTATATCATTATGAAAAAGTTTGATCGACCATTTTGGCCCCACCCTACCCCCGGGGGTCATGATTTGAAAAAAACTTGAATCTACACTACCTGAGATGATTCCACATTAGTTTTATCTTTCCTGTCCTAATGGTTCTTGAGAAGAAGATTTTTTAAAGATTTTTCCTATATATTCCTATGTAAAACTTGGGTTGGCCATTTTGGCCCCACCCTTGCCCTGGGGGTCATGATTTGAACAAACTTGAATCTACACTACCTGAGGATGATTCCACACAAGTTCAATCTTTCCTGGCCCAGTGGTTCTTGAGAAGAAGATTTTTTTTAAATGCCATTAATTTTTCTCTAATTCATAATTATCTCCCCTTGGAAAAGGGCGTGGCCCTTCATTTGCACAAACTTGAATCCCTTTCACCAAAGGATACTTTGTGTCAAGTTTGGTTGAAATTGGCCCAGTGGTTCTTGAGAAGAAGATGGAAATGTGAAAAGTTTACAACAACAACGACGACGACTACGACAGACAACGGACAAATTTTGATCAGAAAAGCTCACTTGAGCCTTCGGCTCAGGTGAGCTACAAAACTAAGAAATACATCGTGAAACATGGCCCAAGTTGTTTCTTTCAACATTTTGGACAAAACTATGTTTGTATCATCTGTCCTTATATCAAGTTTTGATTGAACAATTCAGTGATGACATTTTATGAAATAAAGGATTGCCTGTTGTCACTTTCATTAAAAATTGCCAGTAGCTTAGATTCGCCGACTGGAAATACCACCATACTCACGTTTATGCTTTTTCATGGCTATTTATAGAAAATTGAAGTAGATTTATAATAATTTAATGCACGATACTTAATTAAACTTCCAAATGAAATCTAAATATATTGTTTACGGACATCGTCTTGTATATAGTGGGTTGTTAGTTGGGAAAATAAGTGTACCCGTTTCATGGTTTATTTTCAAAATTTATTAACTTATAAGTACAGATAGGCGTGTCATTATATGACAATCAGCTTCTACAGATAGCTCAAAACGTCCCATCTTATATGTGAATTTTATTACTTTAATGTGCTTCTTGTATTTTTTTAAATTCAGGTCCAATTGGTATTTGCTCAAGTTTCCTAGAACCACAGGAGCTGTTTTGGACTGCTTTGAAACCGCTTTCCACTGCTAAGCAGTTTCAAAACTTTCTTTCAAATAGGATCTGGATGATAAATTACCCAAATCTGCTTTGAGTCAATTTTCGTTATTGCCAATGGCTTTGTGAGAAAATGAATAAAATTTGAAATAGATTAACGACGACAAACAGACAAGCAAATAGCTATAAAGACAAACAAACTAATATTAAATATTGTTAATCAGAAAGATCCGTTTGAGATTCACGCCACAAAAGTTTAGACAAGGATTATAATTTTCACACTTTGTTAATATACGTGAAGACATTATAAAATATTATACAGCAATACATATTTCGGAGATAGGCTAGCTGACATGTACCTGCCAAATACAACGACCTTCATCTTTTCCTTTTCCAAAATTTTTCGGCTTTCTGAAAACCAACTCTTCGTATCCCTGCATTCTGTAAAAATATCTCGAATATTTTCTGGTGCACCTGTTGAAATGCATGGGTCAATATAATATACATTTGGAAAGAAAAACAATTGTGTGACTGATACAATTATAACAGTTATTCATTTTCAAACTTAAGAATGTTAGGAAGATGGAAATTCAGCTTCACGTTTTGTGCAAAAGTAAGATCATATTCATCTTAATAATTTAGGATATTTAAGCAAAGTACAACAAAAAAGAATATCTTAGATATTGTATTATGTCAAGTGTACGTGTCCATTAAAATTGCCCATAAAAACAAGGAGTTTTCAAAAGCAATGTTATGAAGAGGAATTTAACAATAATTTGTACTGTGTAACATCAATGTAGATTCTACAATGGGTAATTAATCAATTAAGCTAGTCGAGCTTTCTTTTAAAACATACTAGCAGAAAAAAGAAAATGTGCATTGTACAATTTAGTAACTAATTTCTATATTCATTGATTATTTTGATACAAGAAGCCTACAAAACTCATAGATCAACTGAGTATCAACTTTCCAGCAATTGAATTTGGTTCGTGATTTATACTAGCAGCCAGGAAATTCACAATTTTGAAAAAAGGAACTTTTTTTTATCATATTAATGCACTAATCATGTTTACTTTGGTTTCTCAATATATAAGGTAACAAAGAGAAATGCATTTCCAATTGATAACCACCAGCTGTGCACCCCCCCCCCTACAGGAACCACTGACCCTAAGGCAACATATTACAGTATTGAGGAGATTATATCATAAATTTACATCAAAAATGGTTAATTAAAACGAAAAAGCAGATTTTAAAGCATTATTTTTTTTTCAAAATAAGTACCCCCTCCGCAAAATTTGACCATGTTGGAAGAGGTACCTTTCTTCATCATCAATATACATGTAATCTTAAAAAAACTTCTATGACGTTGTTATTAGTCTACGGATATTTTACCGATTCAACCAGCACTTGTTGGATATTTAAAGATCCAACTGGCCATCAGCTGGATGTTCAAAATATCCAACCGACAGACAGTTGGATATTCAAAATATCCAACTGCCTATCGGTTGGATATTTAAATACCCAACGGAGGTGCAGAAAACATAAAACAATGAACAAAAGATATAAAACAATTTTAAAATGTATTTCCAATGCGTATGAAAAATAATTACTCCAAATTTGCCACACTATTAGAATTAATTTCCAGTGCACACGGAATTACCCTTATTGTGTTTCAAATGCACTTCCGATGCTCAGAGAAATAACAATTCCTCCGAATTTTGCACACTTTTAGGAATGTTTTCGGTCTTAGGTCTTGAAAGCATCACTTTTTAACACAAATATACATTTTCACCTCTGTTTCATTCTTTTCCGGCGTACTTCCCAAAAGAACTTGAATAATTGACAGCCCATCTATTTTTCGACACCATTTTCATAGAAGATCTTGATATGGAATTTTTTTCAGCAGGTTCAGCATAACACCACCAATCTTTTTATCTGTTTAAGCACTATTACAAGTATTGTCCGAATTGAACTCCATAAGAATTCAACGCTTTTCCTCAACAAACCATCATGAAATGTAATGACAAAATCCCAACCTTTTATAAAAATCCTGTAGTTTTCTTCAGCTTTCAGCTCAAAAGTATCCATAACACTATCTGAACCTCTCTAATTTACATTGGATTTAAAAATAGTCTTCGACTGATTTCATGACTGTTCAGTACAATGAAAAGGGTTAAAATGAAATCAGCACCATGTAGTTTCGTGCTCACTAGTCCATGAATAAAAGGGGTGTTCGATTAGGCCATTGTTTTGTGTCAGGGTTGGATATTTGAATGGGCTACATCCTATTGTACATGTATTAGAGCAATTTGGATATTTGAATGGGCGAATGTTTCTTTGGGGCCCAAAGAAGGGAATTTTTTTAAGTAAGATAAATAACTCGATAGTGTTGAATAGTTTATCTTGATCAATGTCTTATGTATTTTTGATTTTTACAAAAATACGCCTCTGATCTGCATTTATACACTTTTGCATAATTATTTTCCAAGTTTTGATATTACATATCAAAACTTGGAAAATAATTGTGCAAAAATGTATAAATGCAGATCAGAGGCGTTAACACATTACTATTATTATTAGACAATGGATCGGAAAAATGAATATTGCGGTAAAAAAAAAACATATAAATCCCTTCTTATTATTTATTTATTTATATATATATTTATTTATTTATTAAGTTTAATTTATTTATCTATTGGGTATGAATACACCCTGGCTTACCGCAATTTTTTTCTAGTAGCCCTGACTAATTAAAAAGATAAAACCGAGGGTTTCCGATATACACGATAAACGCAAAACACGATACACGATAGAACCTGATAAACAATCTACACGATAAACACAAAACCTGATAAACGGAAAACACGAAACGATAGGATACACGCACAGTACGATAAGATACACGTACGATACGATAGGATACACACACGATAGGACACGATAGAATTGTAAAGAACAACGATGCGGGTACTGTATCTTTAATTATGAAAGAATTACAAGCAAATTAAATTTTGTCCTTTGGACACCTTTGGTCAGTATCCTTAAATTTACGACTTGAAACATTATGGATTTGCAGTAGGATGGATCTCTTTGATTGACTGTGTTTTACCAAATGTCCCTTTCAAGATTTTTTCACACAAACAAAGGCAACACCATTTGCATGTGGGGAGCTGCAATTTTTGTCCTATAATCGGCACTCAGGGCTATTGAACAGGGAGGGATATATTTCTTGCCATCAGCTACTAACACACGGGATCTCAGTTTAAGCGATCTCATAAAAAAACAGTATCTTCGTCCCACATTGGGATTAATGTGAATGTATAGAAAATACGTCAAGTTTAAGTTACTAAAACCGTAAGTCTTGGCCATGAAAAAAGTTATTTATAACCATCAAAGGATATGTTCTTGATTTTAGTTTACGGCTGCAAAGGACAAAAAAATGAATATATGTTTTACGCCAAAAAAAATGATACAATCTTTTAAATATCGCTTCAAATTAAAGCGTGTATGTATACTGGGAAAACTTATTTTCAAATCGTCCGTCTGCTTCGGTAATTAATTTTTTTCTTCTAAAACTTAAGACCTTGGGTGGCATAGGTTAGGGTAACTTTCGTGCCCATCGCCCCAACCTTTGCCACCCTAGTTCTCATATATATACATGTGTATGCGCATTTTATTTATTAATGTACTTTTTTTTAATTGCCTACCAGAAATAGCATCATCCACTCTTGAAAGGAGGTTCCCAACACTATCAAAGATATCCAATGCACATTGTTTTGCCTCTTCAAACTTGCGATATCCAGCAGAGGTATCGACAAATGACTGAAATAATAAAGCAACAACACCTACATTAAGATGAAAAACTACATTTACAACATATAAAGAATACGATACTATTTTAAAGATTTTATTTCCAAAAAAATTCATTAAAAAAGCAATATATCTAGGTTTGTCAACTACAAAAATTTTTGTTATCCTAAACCAGTGTGGTGTTCCATTAAATAAAAACTCAATTGTTTTGTCATTATTTGTAATAAGGGCATGGACATAGTTTCAGATGAAAATTTCAAATTTATTTTCCAATTTTGTACATGTACTCAATAATAATAAGGTATTTATATCAAAAAATTGAATATCAGTTATCGAGATTCAAAACAGTATTACAGCTTCTAACCTACCTCAAATTATTTAAATCTATACAAAAATCTGAAAAATTATGTTGTATATATTTTTTTAGCAAATTCGCGAGCTAATTGCATTTGCAAAAATATTTTTCTTAAAAAAAATACCAATAAGCAAAGTAAACAAAGCAGTGGTCATTCGCAAAATTTTGAAACGTAAAAATTAATCAACAGCATTTTGACCCGAATTCGCAAAATAAAATCGACGTAAAAATTTGCAAATTTACGGTAAATATACTGAAAGGAAAAAGAAACGCATAAGAACATGATATGCAAAAAGTTGTTGAATATGTGGCCGAACGATGGCGCGTAACAACGTCACATCAAGATAGAACTTTCATCATGCCACCTCGGTTATTGTCTAGGCATTATCACTGAAACTGATATTCATACAGCAGACAATCATACTCATTTTTTCACCCTTAAGTTGACAGAAAAACTCTGCTCTAATATGGGCCGCGAACGTGGCAACTTAATGTCGATTTTATTCTTACGCGCACGATCTTTAATTAAAGTAACATATTTATATATCAAATACATCAGAAACAGGGTTTTAAAGGCAAAATATTAAATAAATTCCCTTAGATGATGCCTAAACAACCTTGTCTAGTGTTTAGTATTTCAGACTCTGTAATGCAACGTCAGTCTATTTTTTGACAAAATCAGGTCTTTTGAGCTTCAGAAAATTCTAGCTCACTGATAATTCTAATATCTGAGGGAAATGAGATTATTGTTATGTGAAATAAGAGAATGTGTACATCTTTGTTTGACAATAATACATCTTAATAACCATGTAAATAGTGAGATATTATACAATCATTTTATTGGTTTTATTGATATGTCAGTTGTCGTCACAAAATTAAAATAAAGAATGTCATTCTGTGTCAACAATTTCGACCTCGACCACCCCCCCCCCCCCCCCCCCACCCCCCAAAGGAGAGAATCTATAAAACACAAGACCTTTCTCTCCAAATATAACTGTTATACATGTAGTATAATAAACCGTATCTTAACGATAATTGAAAGATAGAATGCAATATTTTACCTCATCCGAAGAATCTTCAGAGTCACTTTGTTGTGCTATGTCTCTTTCTTTTATTGAATGCAATTCGATTTTCTTCCACTCTATAATGACATTGTCAACATACTTAAACAATTCAAAATGATTTAATACAATAACATTTAAAATAAGATTCTTTACCCTTTTCTTCGGTATAAATTATGAAGCATACATGGAATTTTAAAAAGAAAGTATAAAAAAAACCATACTATTGAATAACTACAGGTATATTTGTGTATCATATTTATGGAAAAATAGTTTAATAACACAAACAATATTTATGGTCAAGTGCTTCGGGGAAGAGATAAATTGGATCATAAGACATGACTTTCATTGTCCATGTACTAATTTTTACAACGAAAAAAAATATATGATATATGATTGATAAAAATATATGCTAATTACTATGCACAAATCTGCCCAGAGCCCATGGTTTATTTAAGTCGTTGAATTTTTACATGACATTTTGAAATTTTGGTAGGTCATGAGAGAGTGGAAAATTGAAATGAAGAGTCGAAACAGAGATTGTTTACATCATCCTTCAAGTTCAAAGGAAGCTTCATTCATCTACATTATCTAAAAGTTGAACAACCTAGATAAAGTCTGTTTATCTGTTTATTTGTATAATTTGAAAGTACGGAACAATTACTTTACAATTGTTTGGATGAAACATGTTACAATTGTTTAAAAGCAAAGGCTTATTTGATATTTGCTGCTGGGGATACGAAAAGTATTCAGCTTGAAGGTGTTTTGGTATTCAAAGCTGTTGACAATTATGCTTGAACTAAGGATCCAGAGTCTTTTTTGATTTCTACTTTCAAAGACATTGATGACTGAAGAGGCTGTCTCTAAGAAAACCATGCAAAATCTGAAAAATCACCCAGAAGGATCATATTTCCCCAGCTTACCTTCACTTGTCAACAAAACAAAAAAAAGTAAAAAGAACAATCAGGAATAATTTTCGCCAACCAAACGTTCTTTAGAGACATTTTTGTCTTCTTTAATTGGAAGATAGACCGAAAAACAGTAGAGTGTGTACATAATAAATAGGCAGGCATCACGTAAATGCATGAAAACTACAGCTATATGTCATACAGTACAGCTATATAAAACATCTTTTGTCTTCATGTTCTGTTTGATAAATGTCCTTGGGTTTTTTCTAATGTACAATAATTTTTTGCACACGTTTTGCTTGTTTGTAATATCATTTAATTGATAATCTTTTGATGCCCTTTCCTTTTGCCAAATTTGAATCATTTGTTTTAAGGGCATTTTTGTCGTGATAGAGGAAGCATACAGGAAAAGAAAGAAGACAAATCAGCATTTCAAAGGAAGAAAACAGCTTCGTCTTGTAGGTGTATTTTTGGATCACAACTTCAGGTCTGATCTGGTGAATGTTTTTCATCTTCTGCTTTTAATATAAATTCCTCTTATACCATTGAACGAAATTTTTTATGAGACTTTCAGAGAATCTTTATTATATAATGACATTGTGCACTTCATATTTTACTTTTTGATCTGGCATATATTTTGGGTTTTCCATAGAAAAACATGGGTACTGCCATTATATACATATACATGTAGAATATGGGGGTATCATTTAGTGATCTCATTGCTCAAAGTACTTCTATTTTCCTTTTAAAGTTGCAGTAGACATCAATTTCCATAGATTTTTTCTTTTGGAAACCATACAGCGCACGCATCGCACACAAACATTTTGAGATTTGTGATCTTTCAAAGAATTTTACACAATATCTCTAAGATTTGAATTAGGCAAGGACTGCTGACACTATTTTACAATATTTTCTAATAAAAAAAAAGCATATAAATTAATGATTATTGTAAATATTAATATCTTTTATGTGACATGTGCAGTGTTTATTTAGATTTCACTTACTTTACGTATACCCTAATCAGTCTTACGTTTGGAAACATCATGTGGCCAAATTTTAACATAACCCGTAACTCTTGCTTATTAGCCAGTCACACTTAAGCAATTTGCCATGCTGCATTAATTTAAGTTTGATAGAATCCATGCGGTGCAGTGCCAAGTATGTCTTACTAGGGGTAAAATCTCATATTAACATAAAATATCAATGCTGAATTCAAAGTAAAATGTTACTTTTAAAAATATTTCTACATTAAATTCAACGCTGACTGTAAGAAAAAGGGGAATTGATTAATCCTCAAATCCATTAAGGAATATGTGTTGTGAAAAGTCATTAGGGCAGAAAACACGGACCGCCAGAAAAACTAGATTTGGAATCAGTTAGAATTACCAAAGAAGAGTAAATTTCCACGGTCAAAGAATAGTAAGAGAGTATCCATAAGAATACGTACCTTTTTCGTTTAAATCTGTAATAGAAATCGTGATGTCTTTCTCCGCTAGCCCAACTACTGACAGGATGTATGGATCACTGAAAAAATCCATTAAGTATTGGTTAACTATGCCTTTCTTCATATCATCAATGAACCTTCTGTACCCATTTTCTGATGCAAATGTCATTCGGAAAAGAATACTTCCCTCCTGAAGATGCACATCACTAAGCTTGTAATTTTGTTGTAGAGTGTATAAAAACCTCACAAAATTATTAAGAATAGTCACAATTTTGTCTGGGTGCATTCCTGCATATTTGTGAATTGTCTTTTTCATTTTTTCAAGCAAATTCATTGCAGACATTTTATCATCATCGCATGGAATACTATCCATATATAATTCAAAACTGCTTTGTAGATTACAAATATCTTCTTCTGTTGACTTTTTGTTGATTGCGTCCATCATTTGATTGAGTGTTTCTTTTATCATGCTACACACTGAGATAGCTTGACTGTTATTTTTTTTTTCTTTTGCTTCACTTTCTATGGAGAGAACCTTTACTCGCGTTCCTGTAAATCATTAAAACAAGGTACGTAACTTTTACTACAGTGAAAAGAGAGATCGAAATTTTCATGAATCATGTAAAATTTTGCATTTTGCGTTAAGTGGATGAATGTAAATCTTACCTATAAAAATTGCAATGAATTAATGTTTTAAATGGTGTTTATAATATCAAACAAACTAAAAAATGAAACGTAAAATCTGTTCTTATTTCCGCTGCGTTTAATCATCTGGTTCTTTCATGTTTTCATACCAATGGCCATCTTTTGTCAAGATATTTTAAAAATGTATACGTAACAGTAACAGTTTGAAGACAAACATCATGTACAGTTGTACATATAATGTTTGTACTTTAATTAACGGACTTCTTTTATGGTTAAATTTTGTGGGTTAAATGTATCTATTGTGCAGACTGTTGCTTAATTCATGAATAATGATTGGTATAGAATTCTCACATTAAAACTTACATTTTACTACAAATTTTTTTGTATATAGTTACATGTACGCACATTGCCATGCAACACAGTTCATGATCGTTGTCGTAGAGAAAAAATGTGATGCAACAAGGAATGATACTTTACTTGATGCTTAATGATAAAAAGCTCTAGTTTTGTCATAGAGCAAAATTGAAGGCCAAAGAGGCTGTAAGACAAATAATCAGTTGTTGTAGAATTAAAAAAAACGCTTGAGAAGGTTTTTTTTCATTTTTTTTTCCATTTTGGTTGCATTTGATTACCGAATATAAAACGACTGAAAGCTAGAATACACGACTACGTTAAATATACAATGTCATTTTGCGGAGGCGGAGGTCCTCTGATGCATGGGTCATCTTAGAAGCATAATTAAAAAATAAGAAAATCAATGCTAATTTGTTTTGAAACCGCGATTACCCCCCCCCCCCCCCCCCCCTGAAACCAAAACGTTTAATTGTGTACATGTCAGATCGGTACGAGGCGCGTTCGCATTGAGGCGAGTCTATTATCTGACATAATGGTCAGTTTGAAACATAACTAACTTAAAACAGTTCTTTACCGATAGCAAACACTTGTCAATGTATCTACATATTAACGGGCAACGTTCTGCTTGCCAGGGGTTACTATCTAGAGTCATGGTTTTTATCAATAAATATTAAAAGTATCTTTATCAATAGTCTATTATTCTGCATTGCGACATCTAATATTTACTATGCACGCGTAAAAGTAAGTTATGTTAATTCGTTACAGTTTATCTATTTTACAATGCTACATCATGGATTGACGACCTACATTATTAAACAACTACCTCTACAGTTTCTGTACTTAAAAAGCATGCCATTTATCTAGAACTATGGTGGCATATTTCTGCCCCCTACATGCAAGATAAAGCATGTTAACATGCAACATAATTATGTAGATATGCAACATGTTTATGTCAACATGCTATTTTATTATGTTGACATGTATGCAAGTTACCAGTCTTAAAAGAAAATATAAATTAAATATGAGCAAATTATCTTACTAACGCCTGTATCATTTAAGATGCAAGATACAACATTATTACATGTATGTAGATATATAGAACACCAGAATGCAAATTTAAGCTTACAGCTTAAGTTTCCTATTATTTTTTCTTATATTTCTGAGATTGCAGGAATCAGTGCACTGCTTGTGTCAGAGAACAGCATTTTTATACGTAAATTCAGAAAAAAACATCAGCTTTTATAGTTTGATTTTTCCATTTTTGTTAATATGTCCGATCATGCAATTTGTTTTAAAATACATAGAAAAATATATTTAAATAAGAAGTGTTTGATTACAACTTTAGAGCTTACCTTTTTCCATGGAACTTATTGCTGCTCTGAATTCTTCCATCATTGCAATGATTAACGACAATAAATCTCGCACTGACTTATCATTTTCACAATCCCTTTTAATTTTTTCTATTATGTTTTCTTCATCTTCTTCGTCGAAAGATTGTGCCAGAATTTCAATTAGGCCATCACAGTATTTTTTCCCGGTAAAAGTTTCAAGTCTCCTACAAACATCGGATATAATAGCCCAATTTTTGTCAAAGTCTTTTGGGGAAATAAAGGCTGAACTCGCGTGCGCATAAACATCATTCCGGATTAGGCGTATCCTCTCAATGTCATCCCCTACCGTTACATCTCC